CCCCCCGCTCACCGAAGATGCTGTTGCCGCGGGGCGTGCTGCCGCCGAAGCTGAAGACGTGCGAGTGGTCGGCCGTCACCACGGTGAGGGTCTCCGAGGCGCTGGTCAGCTCGGCGGCGCGGGCCACGGCCCGGTCCAGCATGACAGCTTCGCTCAGGGCCTGCTTGGCTCTGCTGCTGTGGTGCCCGTGGTCGATCCTGCCTCGTGCAGAAGGGAGAGGGAGCCCGTCACGCCCCCACCCTTCACCCCCCCGCAGGGAAACCCCAGCCCCCCCTCCAGTCCCCTGCCTGGGCACCGGGCTGGCGTCTACCCCTGGGGCAGACATCATGGCTTTGTCACCTGGCATCGCCGGTAGGGTTGTCAGGCGTCCGGTTTTCGAGCCCTCACCCCCCATTTCTGGCCCCGCCCCGGAGCCTGCACCCCCTTCCCGCACCCCAACCCCCTGCCCCAGCCCAGTGAAAATGAGCTAGTGAGCGAGGGTGGGGGAGAGCAAGCGAGGGAGCGGGGATGGAGTGGGTGGGGGCGGGGCCTCGGAGAAGAGGCGGGGCAGAGGCAGGGGTGTTGGGTTTTCTGCAATCAGAAAGTTGGCAATCCTAATCACAGGATGGCTTGTAACTCGCCCCCGGCGCGCTGCCGACCTCCCCCCCCCAGCAGAACGCACGGCCGGCGGGAGGGGCTGGGCCGGGGGTGGGGGAGGGTCCCTGCGCTCTCGGCCGGCGGGTGGGACTGGGCCGGCTCCAGGGGGCAACTCATCTTCCACAAAGAGGAAGAAGCCGCGGGGATTCCTGCGCAGGATACGGATGGCTTTCTCCGTCATTTCCACGATGGAGGGGTCCGTGCTGGCGTCACGGTTCAGCTCGTACTTCATGTCCTTGGGCTCAAAGAGACCTGCCGGGATGAGCCGCCAACGTCAGGGCCTCGGAGTGCTGCCCGGGGGCCCAGCCTGTCCGGTACCGGGGCTGCGGGGGGACCGGCCCTGGGAGAAGGATCCTATTCACCCGGGCCTGACACCCGCCCAGCCCCTGGGACAGCTGTGACCAGCCCGGCCCCCTGCCCGTCTGGGGGCTCGTTCTCTCTCTGGCATCCCAGCCTGGCCGGGGCTGGCAGTGCCAAGGGGCTGGCCCGCTCTGTGCCCCTGGGCCAGCAGTGGGGTGCATGCGGCTCTGAGGGCCAGCCCCACACAGAGGCCGAGTGGATCCCCGAATGCAGCGAATTTACATGAGATGGTCCCCAACGCACCTCGGACGCCAGCCCCCTCCTGCCCGTGGCGGGGCTGCTGCTCGGGCCAGGGAGCTCCCTGCGGTGGGGGACCGAGCCCCGGGGTGCCCTGCTCAGCCGGGGTTTGTTCCCCCACGTTGCTGTACGGACAAGCCCGACTAACGGCACCGCGCGGGCAGCGAGGGGGCGGCACTACCCGTCGCGGCCAGCCAAGGAGCACGGGCAGCCCCGGCCCGGCCGGCACCCTTACCCAGGAGGTAGTCGGTGGAGTTCTCATCAACGGCGTCCAGGCCTTCCTTGTTCCAGACGTACCGCGCCCCCTGCCACCAGAACAGACACGGCTCAGGCAGCCGCCCATGGGGCACACCCAGAGCAGCCATGCCAGGCCACGCCCAGTGCATCTCTGCCCCACGTACGGGCTCCCCCCCCGGAGCGTGTCACAGGCACGCCCACGCCCGCAAAGCATGTCGTTCACATGCATGCCCATGGGAGCACACAGCGTGTGACTGTCCCATAGGCGATCCAGCCGTGTGCGTTCGGGGCCACCCCCCATCCCTGCCCTTCTGCTTGGGGGCATGGGCAGAGCTGGTACCTCCTTGGCACTGAGCCACCTCTCCACCAGGTCAAGTCCATCCTTCCTTGTCCCGCTCTGCTTTGGGTCCGTCGGGTACTCGGGGTCCGGGGTCTTCCGGGGAGTCATGTACATCCTCCCACCGCCCAGAATCACCTGTAGACGGGGTGGGGGCAGGGGGGAGTCCAGCCGTCAGCGGCACCGGAGCCCAGCGCGCCCCGACACCCCCACGGGCCGGACCAGAGCCCTGGCCGGGAGCCAGCCGCACCACGGCAGCGCCCCCTCTGGCCGACATGGGGAGTACAGGGACCTGCTGGGCAGGGAAGCCCCATCCAGGCGCTCATGACAAACCACTGGCTGGGATATAGGCTCCCCAGCAGGAAAGCAGGGCCCCATAACTGCACCCCCTCCCCCGGGGGGCTGGGCTCTGGGGAAGGGGGCAGAGCCCTGCCGGTGCGGGGGGAGGGGGGCTCAGAGGCAGCCAGAAGAGCCAATATTGTGTCGTTGGGATGAACAGAGCCGGCTGCAGCAGGGGACGGGGCAGCTGGCATGCAGCATCCCTGCGGGGGGAGCCCCCTGTGAGCCCCCCCATGGACCCCAGAGAAAGAGCCGGCTCTGTCCCCTGCTCCCCTCCCCACAATGCCCCAGCCGGGCGCAGGGAATCAACAGCCAGACGCGAAGGCTGAACCGTCACGGCCTGCTGGGGTGTGAGCTCAGCACCCGGGTGCAGATCAGCCCAGCTGGGCAGGGTCAGACACTGTGGCGTGCCAGGAGGTCACAGGGATGCCACAAGATCTGTGCTTGCTGGAGAGGTCTCTCCCCTACCCCCGGCCATGTGGCAGGCGGCCCCTGCCCCCAAGTGGTTTGCTGGGGGCTGGGTCCCAGCTGGCCTTGCAGGGCCGGGAGGTGCCCGCTCCATGCCCCGGGCCCCACGCCCCACAACACCACGGCCCCTTGCCCACGGCAGCTCACGTTGATGTCTGTGTTGTGCACCAGCTGGTACGCGATGTCTTTGCAGCCCTGCCTGATGGCCTCCTTGGGCAGGTCAGCGTCGCTGTACCACTCCCGGTTGACCACGTGGGCATAGGACGCGCCCGGCGAGGCGTGCTGCACGCGGGTGGTCGTCACGATGCCCACCGACTTGCCTGCCACACCGGAGGGGAGGGCGGGTTACTGCCGGTCTCTGCTGGGCAGCCTCCGCACGCAGCGGAAGGGGGTGATCAGTGCCCAGGCTGGTGCCAGCAAGTCCTGGCTCTGTCGTGCCAATGGCTACGGGAGAGGGGGCACAGACAGGGAGGGCAAAATGTGCCCCAAGCTGGGCTGGGTCAGAGAGAGCCCAGGCAGCACTACCCATGCTGGCAGGGCAGCTCCCTGGCACTGCCCGTGGTGCGGGCACCCTCCCCGGTGCTCTCTTACCCGACTGCTTGGCCCGGTGCAGGATGGAGTGGACCTCGTTGCCCCACGTGGTGTTGCATTTGCCGTAGACGGCGGCGGCACTCACCCCCAGGGTTTTGGCGTTGGCCTTCACCCCGCACAGGTAGGCGGTGCCAGTGCCCGCGCTGTCGGGCACCTGCCGGTCCACGTTGTACGTCTGCAAGACAGCAAGGGGCCAGGAACAGGCGCTGGGGGCGGCTGGCACAGCCCGTGCCCCGGGAGCGTTCCCGGGCAGCTGGGGGCGTCTCACCCAGCGGGAGGACTGAACGGTGGAGCCAGATGTCCAGGGGATTTGGGACCCTCCCACCCCCGCAGGGCTCCTCCCGGCTGCTACGCAGACCCCCAGCGGGGAGGCCCACGGCCATCTGCGAGCTCCCACCCCACAGGGGAACCCAGCCTGTGGGCGCAGGGCACAGTACGTGGGGGTGACCCCAGGCCAGCTCCACCCCCGCACTCTGGGTCTGAAGTCACCTCCCCCTCCCGGCTCTCACCGCATCACAGGCCAACCCCCCCCCCTCGCCCCAGCCCTGCCAACCCCCTGCTCTGCTCTCATGCGTACCCCGCTTCCCTAGACCCTCCCTCCCCGGTCCCCTCCCTGGCCCGCGCTGGGGCACCCTACCTCGCGCCAGCTGCCCAGGGCAGGGAGGGCCGACGGCCGCGTGGCGACTTTCCCCTTGCTGATGGGCCGGCTCCCAGAGCGTGGGGGGGATGGGGGCCCCGGGCCTCCAGAGCCGAGCCGTGAGCCCGGTGGGCATAGCGGTGCCCAGGGGGCAGAGGGCTAGGCTTGGCCTGGCTCTGCTGAGGGCCAGCTCCAGAGTCCGCTGCTCTCTGCCCCGTCCTTCCCGGGGCCGGGCACTCACCTTGGCGAGGGCGACGTAGGGGAAGGTCTCCATGGCCAGCCGGCTGTCCTCGCCGGGCCCTCCCTCCAGCTGCCCCTTGTAGATCCGAGCGGCGGAGACGGTGGAGATCCCCATGCCTGCAAGCCCAGCACCAGCCCAGCATTAGCACTGCAGCCTCGGGGGCTGACGGGGGGCAGTCAATGGGGCGCAGCCCGGAGACAGTCCCTGCCGCTCCTGGATCGGCCAGCGGGGGGCGCCGCTGAGCTGCCTCTGGGGCTCGTGGGAGCCACTGTTACCACTAGTGAAAGCAGGGGGGAGATGCCCAGCAGACCCCATCCCCGTGCGAGGATCCCTCTCCTCTGGGCAGGTCACGGGGCCAGCGGGCACTGGGCCTGGAGCGGGCGAGGCAGCGCTCTCCGTGCAGGCCGGGCCCCGCATTCCCCTGACACAGCCCCTGCCCAGGCAGCCCTGTCTCTGCGCGGCCGGGGACTGAGGATCCTGATCCCACGCTGGCCCCGGCGCCCCCCTGCTGGATGGACTCAGAACCGTGTGCTGGCAGGGCAAAGGCCTTGTACAGCTACCGGCTCTCACAGTCGCTGCCGTAACCACGGGGCCCATGCGGCCCAGTGGGCTCAGCACCGGCCCAGGGTCTGAAGTGCCTCAATTCTCTTCCCAGCTCTGCTAGCTGACTCTGCCCTCGGTGCCTCAGTTTCCCCACCCGTGACGTGGGGTGCTGAGCCTGCCCCGGGGCTGAGCGTGCTCAGTGCTGCCAGCGAGCCGGACCTGGCCAGCCAGCGCACAGGGACGGACTGTGGTTAGGAGAGAAATTTTAGCTTTGGTCCTGGCACAGGTGGCTCCGGCTGGATGGGGCCAAGGTTGGGGCGACCCCGTGTCCCGGAGCGACTCGCAGCCCCCGCCTGGAGTTACAGGCTTCCCTGGCCACATTAGCCAGGCCCACACCCCTCCCCTCCGGCAGCCAGGGCTCGCTTTGCAGAAATGCCGGTGGGCCACGGGGCATCAAGCAGCGGCCAGGGAGGGAGCAGTCGAGGTCAGAGGAGGGGAGGGTAGAGCAGGGCGGGGCTGAAGGGGGGAGGGGAGGAGGGATGGCACAGTGGGACTGAAGCGGGGTGGGGGAGGGCAGAGCGCGGCAGGATTCAAGGGGGGAGGGGAGGGCAGAGCAGGACTGAACAGGGGAGGGGAGGGCAGAGCCCTTTGAAGTAGCTGCGGAGCATGGTTGGGGGGGAGGAGGAAAGAAGACAACTGGGGGGGGGGTCCTACAGCTGCGATGGTGGGGGTCCCCGGGGGCTAGGACAGGAGCAGCCCCCCCATCCCTCACTCCAGGAAGGATCTCCCTGAGTTGGTAGGATTCTGCCCCGTGCCGGGTCACTGCCTCCACCCCCCAAGCCAGCCCCCCTTCCCCCGGGGAGAGCCGCGTGGCCACGGCAGGCACCCAGCCCCTCCAAACAGCTGGCCACAGCCATACCCGGTGACCTTCACCCTCCCCAGCCGCTGTCCAGGGCAGCGCTATCCCTAGGCCGCTGCTGGGGACACTGAGGCACGGGGTGGGGCCCCTGGCCGGATGCGCCGTGGGGAGAGGAGCCCTCCCGGCCAGGCCTTGCCACCATCTAGGGGCAGAGAAGCCGCAATCCTTGCTCCCTCGGCTACCAGCCGGCAGGGAAGAGCGACCAGGCTGAGCCTGGAGCATTCACCCCCGGGCCCCGCCCCGGGCACCCGCGCCCTGCCGGCTAACGCTGCCCCATGCCCAGCGCGGGGGGCAGGTTCCTGCTGCAAACCAAACTCTGCGAGGGCCGGCGAGTGGCTGGAAACAGAGACCCCCTGTTCCCTCAGGGAGCCCCGGGCTCCCCTGGCCAAGCTGCCGGTGCAGCCCCTTGGCTGGGGGCGGCCAGGTACCCGGCCCCGGGGGGCACCAGGCTAGGCTTGGTGGGCAAAGGCAGATTAGAAGGAGGAGGGACCCAGTGCCCACTGCACTCACCGTCGCCCAGGAAGAGAACGATGTTCTTGGCATGGCGGGTCACGGGTGCCAGGGTCAGCGCCGACTCCAGCGTCCTCCTGGCTCTCTCATTCCAGTAGGCAGGGGCCTTCTCGTCCTCTGAAAGGCAGGGAGGGTGCGGGGGTCAGGGCCTGGACACAGCGCGCCCTCCTACCCAGAGCAGGGGGCGGGTGAGCGGGCACCAGCCACATCACCCTGCTCAGCCGAGCCACGGCACGCCCCATCCGTGCTGGGAGAGCGGACGGCAGCCAGCGTGACCGACGCAGCCTGCTTCAGAATGGGGGGGCCTTCCCATGGGGGTAGGAGTCCGGGCAATGTCCCCCAGGACAGACAGCTCCAGGTCTTCCTGAGACGGATGAGGATTTTAGCTACTGATCCTGCTAAGCCGCTCCCCCACCTCTCCAGCACAGCCCTGCTCCTGGCAGTTAAGCGGCACCCGCTGGAGGCAGGCCCTGTGCCCACAGCCGCCTCCTACAGCAACCCAAGCCCCGGGAACCCCTCGCTCAGGGTCTGGATCATCAGCACAGCCCACCCAGCACTGTCACCCTGCTTCACACCAGGGCCACTTGCACCTTCCTGGGGGAGACAGCTCCCACAGCTCCGGCCAGCGGAGAATCAACCTGAGCTGCTTGCAGTACGGGGTCTATGTCGCACAGCTGGGCAGTTCTGGTTCCATCCAGCAGAGGGTGCAGCGGTGCCCAGGCACATGAGTTCACTGGGGGTTTTGCATGAGATTTGGGCGCAGGGCGTCGTCCGCGGCGCTGAAATGATGGGAGATCTGGTCCCCCGTGATGTTTCTACCTCCTGGGAGCTGGAACGCAGGGAAAAGCCCAGATCCTGGATCTTCCAGTCCCACCCAGGGCTCCTTGTGCCATTAAAGAATCAGGGCAACACAGGTCAAACAGCGCCCCCTAGAGCATGAGCTGTGCCGGGTTTCCTCGAACGTTGCCCCCCTCGGTGCTCGGAATCACCCAGAGTGGGGCTGGGAATTCGATGCTTCCTCCCCGTTTGGGGCTGCCCTGCGGGTGGCATGACCCACAGCCGGCGGCAGGATTTTACAGGCAGGTTCCCGTGGGGAGATTTAAAGAGCAAATGCTGCCAATGGGGCTTTGAACAGGCCAGCCTCTGGCACTGTTTTCCACCATGCTGGGCTCAGCCGAGGGGTCGGCTCGCACAGTACGAGGGGGGGGGATTACACCCCCACCCCCTCGCCATGGGGGCCCTCGTCTCCACCTCTAGATGAGGCCCAAGTGCCAGCGCGATGCACTGCTCCCTCTCAGTTAAACAATGGACAACCCCCTCCTTATGCACCAGCACAGGCGGTTGCATTAATCAACACAGCCTGCAGCGGGAGCCAGAGAGCACACGATTTTGATTTTGTCTAGGCCCTACATAAACTGTTTGTCTCTCTCTTTTTTTTCTAATTCGGGGCTTTTCACTGGGCCAAACTCCTGGCTGATGTCAACTGTCACACACCTCCTGGAGCCACGCCAGTTTACGCCAGTGGAGAATCTGGCCCAGCATCTCCCGAGAACCTTAAATAATCTGCCCTGGCAACTCCCCTCCCCTCCCGTTCCCCAGCCCCGGGGTTTCAATTCCACAGCGCCCGTCCCTGCAGCATTTCAGCAGCCCGGCTGCAGCGGGAAAGACAGATTGGGGCCTAACACAGACAGATGCTGGCCACACAACCTGTGGCTCCCGGCAGCCGCTGGATCATTCAGCTGGTGATGAATGAGACACTATGCGCTGGGCCGAGGGAGAAAAGCTGCTGGAGTGGAGGGGGTGGGGTTGGGGGCCTGGGCCGACACTCACTGGCTGTACGTGCCCATGCCACATCACCCTGCCTCCCATCCTGTGCAATGCGAGGCCTCCTCTGCCTTCTCCCTGCAGAGCCTGGGACGGGTGTGGGCTCCACACTGCCCCCTGCTGGCGAGCACGGTGAGGGCAAAGCTCAGGAGGCCTGAACCGGAGTGGGCACCTGGTCAGCTGTGAGAAGCACCCAGGACTTGTGAGATTCCCCCACAAGAGCAGCCTGTGGCTCACCCACAGAGGCAGGTGCCGTCCGGGCTGCTGCCCGGCGCTCAGGAAAGACACGGACCCGGGGGGGAGGGGATCTGCATAGCGACCCCTCCTCGCTCCGGGTTCGTCAAACAAGACCCGCTAGGTCCCCCCGCCCTCTTCCCAAACCCGGAGCCACCCGCCTCCTGTCTCACACCCAGCCCAGCACTTCCAAGAGCTCCGGCGCATGCCCACACCCGCTGCCCGCCAGTCCCCCCAAGCGCCCCCACCTCAGCAACCGACAGACAGCAGCCTCCGTGCGGCACCAGCCAAGGGAGCGTGGGGACCCCGGTGCATACCAGGGTGATCACCTGAGAACAGAGCTCCCCCCGAGGGGACCGTGCCAGGGCAGCGGGAGAGCTGCTCTGGAGGGGGACAGGGGAGGGCTCAGAGAAAGGCCTTTCACCTCCCTGCAAAGCAGCTACACATGAGGGGCTGAACTGAACCCCCAGCCGGACCCCGTCACGCTGCCCAGCCACTCTGGCCTACAACCCATGTGGGGACACTGACCAGGGGCACAATTCCCAAAGGATGATCCCCCGTACAATGGGGAAACTGAGGCACAGAATGGGGCAGCGACTTGCCCAAGGTCACCTGGCAGCCCAGTGGTCGAGTCAGGTCTCCTGCCTCCCAATCCAGAGCCCTAGTCACTAGGCCCAATCTCATTCGCTGTCAACAGGCCCTGCACCCCCAGCTCTCTGAGGCGCTTTTTAAAACCCTGTCCTAGGGCAGGAGTCTCTGCCCCAAGGCACCTCCACGGCAGCTCCGTGACTAGCCCTGCCCCCCAGTGCTCCCCTACCCCCCACTGCTGGGTGTGAGCAGCTGCCAGGGAGGGGTGGGGGAGCACAGCCCATTGCACTGTTTGGGGGAACAGTCTGGAGCCCCGTTCAACCCCACCTGCGCCGGCCCATCCCAGACACATCCCAACAGGCCCTTCAGCGCAAGACAGGCGCCCAGACACTGCGGTGACAGGAGCCCAGCAACTCCCTAGACAGATGTCCCCCCTCCCCTGTGGATTCCCGGTGCCGCGCTGACCTGGGGGCGGGACCAGCGTCCGCGATGGCTCGCTGCCCCACCACGCACAGCGGTTCTCAGACTGTGGTTCGGGACCCCAAAGTGGGTCATGACCCCATTTCAATGGGGTCGCCAGGGCTGGCTTTGACTTGCTGGGACCCAGGGCCAAATTCAGAGCCCCACCGCCCGGGCAGGGGGCTCAGGGCCCAGTCCCCGCACTGGGGTTGTGCAGTCATTTCTGTTGCCAGAAGGGGGGGGGTGCAGGGGACTTTGAGCTGGACTAAGGTGGCAGCGGGCTCCAGAGAGCGGGGGGCGTTGGAGACCCGTTATCGGAAAGCCCCCTCCTCCGAAGACAGCACGAGCCAAGTGATTCAAAACCCCTATCTTAACAGCCCGGCGGGTAAACGCCCGAAGACAGCCCTGCTGCTCCAGACAAGGGTCTTGCCTGCCTCCGGACAACCCGACAAGCAGTGGGACGGGACCTGCTTTCCCATGGCACACGCTCCATGAAAGCCCCATACATCAATAGCACGTGAAGGCCCCGAAAGGACTGACGGATGTTCCAGGAAAGGACAGCGGGTGTCACACAACCAGCAGAGGAAGCTGCTGCTTGTTGATGGCTGTGAACAACCCCGGTGACCTGTTAGATTCGGTAACAAGCAAATAGCTATTGGGACTCGACTAACCCCTTCCACGCTGTTCACCTCCAGAACCTGCCCAGAAAGCAGGAGCGGTTTCTCCGTCTCTACCAAGGAGAGAATTACAAGAGAGGTGTGTGTGTGTCTCTCTCTTTCTCTCTCTTTTATTGGCCCATTTTCTGTTGGGGGAAGGCACCAGCTTTCGAGCTCCCCCAGATGACTTCTTCAGCTCAGTGCAAGAAAGCTGGTCCCTTCCCCCAGCAGAAGGGCCAATAAAAGAGATTCTCCCCCCCGCCACCACCTTGTCTCTCTCATATCCTGGGACCAACCCGGCTACCACAGCAGGGCAAACAAGGAAAGAATTTGCAGCTAGACCCCTCAGCATGCTGGGGAACACTGTAGAATGGCCAGATGGGCGTAATAGATCATAGACTATCAGGGTTGGAAGGGACCTCAGGACGTATCTAGTCCAACTCCCTGCTCAAAGCAGGACCAATCCCAACAAAATCATCCCAGCCAGGGCTTTGTCAAGCCAGGCCTCTCTGTACGTCTCCGTTGTGTTTACCAGTCAACTCTATTGCCACTACATCAAACTCTGGAACATGAGGGATCCCCACCCGCCCATGCACTGTTCGGATGCACCACCAGCCCCAGCGAGCTCTGCCCCTACGTCGTTCTGTCTTTACCAGGAGGATTTCAGTGCCCGGGCAGTGAAGCAGCAGCAGTTTGTGGCGTGCCGTCCTGGCTTTGCTGCTGGCGTCACCAAGGCACCGGGACAGCAAGGTGTTGGCAGTGGGTGCCCCCAGCTCTAGCCCAGGGAGAGCAAATCTGCCCCACGGACCCCCCCTTCCAAAAGACAAACCCCTCTCCCAAGGCGACGCTTCCCCCTCTTTCAAACGTCGGGCAGGACAGCGGATCTGTAGCTCGACTCACCCCTACCTTTAGCTGGCTGCTTCAGGGCCAATCCAGTGTGACAAGACACCCACCCGTCTGACAAAGCAGCAGAGGTTTCCAGCTGAAAAAGCCCCCTCCCTCGCCGTACAAAATCAGCCTTTCAGGCCAGGCGGAAAGTTTGCTTCTCACCTAAAGAGGCAGGCACAGCAGCGAGGCCAGCGGCAAGGCAGAGGTAGACACAGATGCCGGCGGTGGCCAGGTGTGGCCGCGAGCTCATTTTGCAGCTGCCGGGGGAATCCCTACGCAAACTCTGCCGTCTCTCCCAAGGAGAAGGAGCTGTCTCTTTATAGACGCTTCCTTTCACCTTTGGACCGTCTGGCACATTGCCCAATGCGTCGGGGTGGTAAAGTCCTGCAGCAGAGGGCGAAAGAAGCGTTGATCACATTCAAGGAAACAATCTCCCGGGAGGGACAGCAGCGGGGGAGCTGGGCTGATGGCTCTGCTCCCCCTTCCACCCGGCAGAGTGGCCAGCGCTTGGCTCTGCTAATGACTGTCCACTCCGGCCATTGCAAAGACCCCGGCCAAGCTTTCTGTTATTTCCCCCCCGGCGCATGTCTTACCCCGGAGATCACGGTGTCACCATCGAAAGGACAAAGCCATTGCTTGAGATTCGAGACCCCCCCCACGCAGGACAAGGCGTTTGCGTGGGGCGGTGCAGGGTGAGAGATCCAGGCCTGCTCTGAGCACGCTGGACCAATAACCCCTTGGGAGGAGCAGTAAAAGCTTTGGCCCCTCTGATAAGAGGGCTGAGCTATTTAACTTGCAAACGAAGGAGGCGGCTTTGCAGTCACAAAAGAAACTTGTGAGTAAATCGCAGACCCTGTTCCTGCCCAAATTCCAACCCTGCCCAGCTCCTTCCAGTCCCGAAATCCCCCGTCGGCCTGACTGGCAACTGGATCCTCTCCTGAGCCAGCGTCATTGGTGCCTGCGCCCTCGCTCCACCCCAGCGATGGACGAAGCGACGTCCACGCGGATCTTTAGTGTGGACACGGGCAAAGCCAAGCCAGAGCGATCGGAGGGATGGGCCTGGCGGGGTCTGTCTCGGTTCTAGCCCTGTCTCTGCCACTGACGGGAATTAGGTAATTCATGGAGGGCAGGTCCACCAATGGCTATTAGCCAAGATGGGCAGGGAGGCAACCCCCTGCTCCGGGTGTCCCTAAACCTCTGACTGCCGGAAGCTGGGAGTGAACAACAGGGGACGGATCCCTTGATAATTGTCCCGTTCTGTTCAGTCCCTCTGAAGCACCCGGCACCGGCCACTGTCGGAAAACAGGCCACGGGCTGGATGGACCATTGGGCTGCCCCCGTGTGACCGTTCTTACGTCCTGCCACGCCTCGGCACTCCGTGACGTTGCCCCTCATGGATCCCTGTGGTGCAGATGACTCCCTCCCTCCATTCATTTCCCAGTCCCACCGGCCCAGCCGACAGACAAGGGCAAAGGTGCTGCCGTTCACAGCTTGCAGTTCCGGGGAGCTGGAAGAATCGGGAGCCAAGCTCGGCCTTCTCGGGAAATACTCTGACAGCTGCCCCCATGGCCGCCCCGCTGCCTCGCAGACACCACAGGTAGGCGCAGGACAGACCCACTGGCATGGGCATGGCTGGGCCGGATCGGCTGGCTCAGCTCGGGCTGGGCTCTAGAACTGCAGCGTAGACGTTGGCGTGGGGGCAGGTCTCCAACCCGAGCCGGAACGTCTACACTGGAATGCTTAGCCCCGCAGCCGGAGCCTGAGTCAGCCGACCCGGGCTCTGCCACTCGGTGCCGGGGGGTTTTAGTGCCGTGTAGACGTACCCAGCGCCATTCTGCTGCTGAATCCGAGCAAGTCCCAAGGGGAAGCTGGCTCCGAAGGAAGGGCCCTTGGCCCGCCAATCAACGGGAGGTGGGTTCTCTGCTCTGCCCAGTCTCCCCGTCCCATGGCAGCGCTAGGCTTGGAGCTCTGGGCACGGACGGCACGTTCCAGGCATGAAGCTCTTAGATCCTCTCCTCCCTCGAGTCTCCACTGACAGAGGCAGCACCAGCTGGGGGTGGGAGCAGTTCCCTGCAGCAGTGCAGGACCCGTGTGCATCTAGCAGCGCTGGGGACGGGGGCAGCAGGGCCCACAGAGCCTCCCTCCCAGTGCATTGGCCTCCTGAACTGGATGGTAGAAATGCTGCTGCTTGGGACAGGAGCCCCGTGTCCATACGCCCGTTCCTGCTCACCAACCTCCTGTACTTCCGGGGCCTGGGTTGCACCGTGTGGCTGTCAAGGGTCGTCGGCACAGGCGTGACGTGGAGCACGGAGGAGACGGGGAGAGGCCCGTCCTGCATGGTGCTGGCCAGCCACATGTAAAGCCCCGGCTTGGGGCTCGAACGCCAGTTCGCTGGTAGGAGGCTGGCCGTGGCGTGCCCTGCTCTAGGCTGGTATCCGAACCATGCTCGGCGTCACGGCAGCCAACACCATTGCAGACTCAGCAGCATTCCCCAGCGCAGACCAGTCCCCTGCAAGGACCCGCCCCGCGTCCGGCCGGGGCGCCACATTCTCGGGGACCTGGTTCCAGGAGACGCCATGAGGAGCAGCCCCGCTGCCCCACTAGCATCAGGGAGCTGGGTTTACATGGCCACACCCACTATCTTGCCTACTTGCATTGGTGCATGCTGGGAAAATCCGGGCCGCTCTCCCACCCTGCTTCAGCAGGGGATCGGGTGCCCCGAGGACAGAGCCGCCGAGTGGCCTGAGCAGCGCCCTGGGGCAGCCCACTCTGCGCGGAGCTGGAGCAAGGACCAGCCATGCTGGTTGCACGGGGGCCAAGGAGGTTTTATCCAAAGTGCTCGGGCCAGGCCCCAGAACCGTTGCAGCCTGTCTAAGGGCTTGTCTACACTAGAAAGTGGGTTTCTTGTATCACTTTAGTTCTTTTCGGTATAAACTGTCTTGTGGCCGCACACACAAGTTCTTTTCCCAGCGTATCTGGCCTCTTAACCCACTTGAATTAATCCACTTTGGAAGCGGCATCACTCTACTCCAGAATGAGTTATCCCGGGATAAGGTTCATGTGGGGACAAATCAACTGTTCCATGCCAGGCAGTCCTCCCACTGCTATCCCACACTGCACTGCTTCACACTGGGCCGGGCCCATGCCTTTTACTACTCTGGACTGGCTGTTACCTCCCTGTTTAAATGCTGGCACACACCCAGGGATGCCCCTTGGTGGTGCCAGCTGATGGCAAATTCACATATCAGACACCATTATAGCAGCCCTAAGCTTCTGCCTGGTCCCTCCGGAGGTCCTGGAGTCCCTTGCCCTTGGACAAAAGCACGGCCTGCCCTGTTTTAACAGGAGTCCCCCGAATGTAAAGATCTACAAGCAAATGCAGAAGAAGAGGAGCTCTCAGGACATGACCCAGTGCCATGTCAAAGCCAGTGGAATGACGGGAACGCAGGAAAGGCATTATGGGAATTTCTTAGCCTGACCCAAGTCCCAGAATTCCAGTCGGTTCGGGGAGGTATCCCACAATGCCCCACAAGAAAAATCCCAGAATGCATCAAGTTTAGCAGCAAAGTGTTGCTTCATGGGATATCCACCCAGAATGCGGTGCAGTTATTTAGGAGAAGCGCAGAGCTCCGTGGGTGCAATGAATCGCACCGGAAGTAGCTTCAGTCGACCCAGAGCCAGGGGGCTGCGCTCTTTTGGTGTCCTTCCCACAGAAAAACACAGCCTGAGGAAACATTCCTGCAGAGACAAGGCCTGGGGGGACGTTGCTGTGTGTGGAGACCGAGGACACCGCCCGCTGACTAAGCCACTAACTGGTTACAAACGCGGCTCAGGCTGGCTTTGCGAGAAGGTTTCTCATTGCACCGCATGTCCCCGCACACATGGCCCTGGGGGTCAGCCGTCTACATGCTGTAGCCACATTTTCCAAGCAGATAAGGTGCTGTCTGCAAGCTGCGCTCCTGCTCACCTGCTCTCCCTGTTCCTAACTGATCCACACCACTTGTGACAGCTGTGAGAGCCAGGCAATCAGTGTTTCGGTTTGGAAACACTGTCTAGGTTTGGAGGTCACGCTCTCCACCCACCGTTATTGCATTTAACTCACATTTGCTCAGCACCCAGGGGGTTTAAAGTGTGTACAAAAGAAAGCCGGCTAGCGCATTCCCAATCAAAGAGCCGAGCTGCGGAGTGGAGAATGTATTGCCTGTGTCTCTCTACAGACAACTAAAACTGGCCTGAGCTTCTTTCTGGTTCAACAGATGCCCTCCTGGCTCCTCACCTCTCTTCTCCCCCACACTCTGGTATGGACCGATGGGGCTCAAGGCTGCAACGATACTGTTAAAAGCCAGGACAAGTTCAGCAAAGAGGTGGACTTAAAATAGATTTGCTACAAGCAATTGCCCCCTGCCCAAGCAGTGTTTCCCCAGGGGGATCTTTAGCCTTCAGGTTGCCTGTCTCAATGACAGAACAACAGTAAATCCTGTTCTAACCAACCGATCGGTGTCGAGGAAAAAAAGCCACTGTGGAAAGCGCAAGAAAAATGTCATGAATGAAACCAGGTGCTTGTTCCAGGGGCCTCTCGAAGCGGGAAGGGTCGGGAGAGACGGGCCGCGGAGTTAACCTGATTGCAATTCTAGCTCCTTTGGCACTGCTGCTTCTCAAACATGAAGCAAAGCCCTCCCCTTGCCGTGCCCGCCTTCTCGGCCTCTGGGATGGTGAATTGGGACCAGCCCCACCATTCCCATGGGGACACACTGCTGCAGATTCTGCTTTCCCACAGGGGTAGGCGTCCTGCTAACTGCTGTCTCTACTAACAGTGTAACCGAGCAGGGCCTTAGGGCTTGTCTACACATGGCGACGAGGTGTGGACTGCAAGGGGATTCAGGCCTTGGCTACACTTGCGAGTTACAGCGCAATAAAGCCTCCCAGAGCGCTGTACCTCACTCCCCGTCCACACTGGCAAGGCACATGTATCTCCGCGCCTACAGCGCTGCTGGTACTCCACCTCCCCGAGAGGAATAGCGAGTATTGCGCTGTCGCTGCGGCGCCAGCGTGGCCGCCCAATGCGCTGTGACTGGCCTCCAGAAGTATTCGGCAGTATCCCACAATGCCTGTTCTAGCCACTCTGGTCATCAGTTCGAACTCTACTGCCCTGGCCTCAGGTGACCAACCGTCAGACCTGCCCTTTATATTCCCTGGGAATTTTAAAATCCCCTTCCTGTTTGCTCAGCCCGGCGTGGCGTGGAGTGCTAT